GGAAATTTTCTCGGGGGAAGTTGGTATCACTGCCATGTAGCAGGAAGTCAAAAAAGCGAACGAGCATTGCCAGTCGTCAGTAGCTCATTGACTGGTGTTGTGGTGAAGGTTAGAGAGGAGTGTTCTCATTCCGTTTCCCTCCAAGTGCAAAGTTTGCACTGTACGAGGGTTATCTGGAAAGTAAGATTACAAGGTACGTAGCTCTCCCGGGAATTTTCTCGGTGCTGTCATATGCTAACTAAATGCTAAGGGCATGAACGCCGCTGCGATTCATTGTGAAATCATTTCAGTTTATTGAGAGGCAGTGTGCTGGTACAGCTGTCCCAGAAGCTCCCACTTTATTTGCTTTGTATTAAGTGTTTGCTTGCAGCCCAAGGTTTGGGATTCTGCAGAAGGGTGGCTTCCTGTTAAAGTTTGCAGTTATAGGGCAGGCCCCCTGTCCATCATCGTTACGTTTGGTTCCGCCCCCTGTTCAGGACAATTGAGAAGGGAAGGGAGCCATTTTCAGTCAGTCTCAGCAAGGAAAGTCAATGTACAGGACGTATACAGACTTCTCCTGTACAAAGGCTTCAACCCTTAAGACTTCCCGGGGGAGGACAGTCTTAAGAGCAAGAAAGATTCCCAAAGATTCCCAGGGAAACAGACCTAAAGCTCTGCGGAATTTCGGAGGGGAAAACCGCTTTGAATATCTAAGAACTCCAGCTGAAGTGACTACAGGCCTACTGGTAGGTCCACTCGGTGCTTTGAGACGCAGTTCAACCCGGTAGTGCCACCCACATCAATTAGGTTTAGGTTCACAGTCAGCCTGGGAGAAGTTTGGAAAGGGATTTTCCTTTAGAGTAAAGTAACAGTTAGAAGCCACCAGTTGCATAAAAGCCTGGAAGCATTTGTTTAGCCCTTTGAAGACAAGAGAAGTTTCTGTTGATTGTTCACCAATAAAGACTTTGTTATATTTCACAAGCCCTCTAAAGACTGGTTATGGTGAAAATCCTTAAGAATTTCTCTTCGGGCCCCCTGGCTTCCCACTGGACTAAAGTTGCACGTCCTGTTTTAAAAGCGATTCATTTCAAGCCCAGCGTGCAACACAACAGGCAGCATGTGACAAAATGGGTACGGAATATATTGTGGGAACATGAAGAAATTTTGCAGAGCCGTCCAAAAGAAACACCGTGGGATGCTGACGGCGGGAGGCTGTCTCCTTCATGACAATCTGTGTCCGCACACGGCTCATGCAACACACGAGTGGTTGACTTGATTTGGTTGGGATGCTTTAAGCCACCCCACTCGCAGTCCTGATCTTGAGCCCAGATGACAAAATGTATTAAACCAAATGATGATTATGTGGAAAAATAATGTATTACCTAGGCTACAATCCATGTAAATTTTATTAAAATATATTTGTTGTTTGTATTTTTTTTAAAAAAATCTTGTAACCATACTTTCTGGATATTCCTCCTACATGTAAACTTGAAAGTTTGGCTCTGGAGTAACTCACAATTGTAAACCCTGAGAATATAATATCACCGTAGGAGATTTAAATAACACCCGTGTATTACTAGATGATTTCTCTGTTCCCCTGATGCAATTAATATAAAAAATGCCCAAAAGGCGTTAGTTGTGTGTTTTATTTATCTTATCCATTGGCAACTTCTCCTGTGTTTCCTGCTTAATGCAAGGGGCCCAGTTTAATCGGAAATACGAGGGGTATTTTTTAAGTAAGGTCCATTTTGTTGTAGACGCTAGTACTTCGTGCGCATACCGCAACGAGCGCGTGCGTCGTGTACCGGCATGGCTCGGGAACAACTGTGCTCAGTTTCCGCTCTGTAGCTCACCTGTACGGTTCTGTTCTGTGCTTTGAAAATGTTTGAGACTCTCAACTCGCCCTCCGCATGTGAGGTTCGCTCAGTGATACGGTTTTTGTCAGCAAGGAGCCTGCCTGCTGCAGAAATTCATCGACAGATTTGTGAAGTGTACGGTGATACTGTTATGAGTGAAAGCAAAGTGCGTAAGTGGGTACGACAATTCAAAGATGGCCGTGACAACATCCATGATGACGACGACGTGAAAACGGCAGTAAACTCTTGGTTATCGGAGCAGGCGGCAAGTTTTTATGAAGAGTGTATTTTAAAATTGGTTCAGAGGTATGATAAGTGTTTGAACAAACTTGGCAACTATGTCGAAAAATAGAGTGCAGTATGCACTTTCTGAAAATAAATTTACTTTTTTGAAATAAACTTTCGTTGTGTACTTAATGTTCCAACGGACCTTACTTAAAAAATAACCCTCGTACATGTTACCCTTTGGTTCTTTGGGTTGTTTCAATATTTAAAAAATAGACTTATTAAACGTGATAAGGAGATATTAACAAGCCTATACATATAGTTTTTCCGCCAACATTGGAAGATGGAAGAGTTGCAGAAACTAAACAAAACACAGTCGATACAAAGTGGAATTCATTTCCTCAGTTTCCTTCTGTACCTTCAGGAGCTTGTAGCGGTAACGGCCCTCCCAGTACGAAAACTCGCCTGACACGAAAGCAAGCGGGAGCCGATCTCGGCTTCTCTGCTTTTCGGCATCACAGTTCAATCTTTTTTTAATCATTCCAGTAGCAATGCAAAAGAAAACCCTCATTCCCTGAAAACTAATACCTTACCTCTCCTCTAGAGTAGAGAATAGAAAGAGCTGTAGTGCGTGGCGTCGTGCAGACCTGGGAGAGAAAGCGTGCACATCTGCCTAAAGCACCTCTCCAGTCTCCTCTAAACAGCTTTAAACCGTCCTTAAAGCCTCAACAATTTCCTCCTACATCTGCTCGGGGTTGTTTTATCCAACCTATTACCATCGAGACTGTACGTTCTGTTCTAAGACTGTTTATGACATAAAATTGGACCGATTGCCGTCAGCCCAGACTTTGCAGCAATGTTTCTCAACCTTCCTAATGCCGTGACCCCTGAATACACTCCCTCATGGTTGTGTTGACCCCCAACCATAACATTGTTTTTGTTGCTACTTCATCACAGTCATTTTACTACTGTTACAAATCATAATTTAAATATCAGATATGCAAGATGTATTTTCATTCACTGGACCAAACTGAGCACAAATACCCAATGCAACCACATGTAAATGCTAGTGGGGTTAGGGGAGGATTGATTTTGTAATTTGGGAGTTGTAGTTGCTGGGATTTATAGTTCACCTAAAAAGCAAAAGAACCAAATTACACCAAATTTGGCACCAAAACGTCTCACTACACAAGGAGTGACCATCACTCAAAAATTTATGATTTTGTCATTTGGGAGTTGTAGTTGCTGGGATTTATCGTTCACCTATAAACAAAGAGCATTCTGAACTCCACCAACGATGGAATTGAACCAAACTTGGCACATATGACTACCCTGGCCAATGGAAGACACTGGAAGGGTTTGGTGGGTATTGACCTTGAGTTTGGGAGTTGTAGGTCACCTATATCCACACAATGGTGGATCTGGACCAAACTTGGCACAAATACTCAATATGCGCAAATGTGACCACTGGTGGAGCTTGGGGAAAATAGACCTTGACTTTTGGGAGTTGTAGTTGCTGGGATTTATAGTTCATTACAATCAAAGAACATTCTGAACTCCACCGACGATAGAATTGGCTCAAACTTCCCATATGTGAACAAATGTGACCACTGGTGGAGCTTGGGGAAACTAGGACTTGACTTTTGGGAGTTGTAGTTGCTGGGATTTATAGTTCATTACAATCAAAGAACATTCTGAACTCCACCAATGATAAAATTGGCTTACACTTCCCATATGGAATCCCCATGACCATCAGAAAATACTGTGTCTTTGGCGACCCCTCTGACACCCCTTCGCAACCCCCTCAGGGGTCCTAACCCCCAGGTTGAGAAACACTGCTTTACAGCCTTAATTAGAAGCAGTCCTAGACACAAGTGAAAGTAAATAAAAAGGAAGTCCCAATGCAGACACAAATTAAAGTCTCTTACAAAGTTCCAAAAGAAACAGCAGTCTTCCATCAGACAATGGGCAATGATCACTAAGTCCTTCACAGCAGACACAAAGCAGGTTCAACTGGAGTGAAAACATCAGCATCAGAGTCGTCGTTACCAGTGAAAACCGACTGCTCCTGCTTCTGATTTATAGCCCTGAATTCCCCACGCAGAAGGTGCTAGGGTGTCTCCCAATTAGCTCAGCGTTTCTAGCAGCTATTCTAGCTGAAGGCTGTCTGTGCTCTGTCTCCTTTAATCTCTCTAGAAATGTGAGCACTTGCAAACCCTTATCGTCTGATTCTTCTTCTCCCTCCAATTCCTGAGCACTTCCCTGCTCTCCTTCCTCTTCCGAAAATGAGGAATCCCTAACACAGAAGAGAAGTCCACAAGACTTACCAACCTCTGAAGAGCTAGGTCTACGTCTGAATCCATGCTATTCAGTAGGCCTGCCTGCAGCACTACTCCAGTCTCCTTGGCACACAGAACTCCCCTGACCAACAGAAAACACTGGAAGGGTTTGGTCGGCATTGACCTTGAGTTTGGGAGTTGTAGTTCACCTACATCTAGAGAGCACTGTGGACTCAAACAATGATGGATCTGGACCAAACTTGGCACAAGCACCCCAATGGCATTTGGGGGAAATAGACTTTAACATTTGGGAGTTGTAGTCACTGGGATTCACAGTTCACCTACAATCAAAGAGCATTCTGAACCCCATGAACGACAGAATCGGGACAAACTTCCCACACAGAACCCCTATGACCAAAAGAAACAGCAATCTTCCATCAGACAACGGGCAATGATCACTAAGTCCTTCACAGCAGACACAAAGCAGGTTCAACCGGAGTGAAAACATCAGCATCAGAGTCATCGTTGCCAGCGAAAACTGACTGCTCCTGCTTCTGATTTATAGCCCTGAATTCCCCACGCAGGAGGTGCTAGGGTGTCTCCCAATTAGCTCAGAGTTTTTAGCAGCTATCCTAGCTGAATGCCGTCTGTGCTCTGTCTCTTTTTGTCTCTCTAGAAATGTGGGCACTTTCAAACCCTCATCGTCTGATTCTTCTTCTCCCTCCAATTCCTGAGCACTTCCCTTTTGGCCTGCATAAACAGGAGCCTAGTGTCTAGATCCATAGTGTGTAGATCCAAACATCAGTATCAGGGTCGTTGTTACCAGCGAAAGCTGACTGCTCCTGCTTCTGATTTATAGCCCTGAATTCCCCACGCAGGAGGTGCTAGGGTGTCTCCCAATTAGCTCAGAGTTTTTAGCAGCTATCCTAGCTGAATGCCGTCTGTGCTCTGTCTCTTTTTGTCTCTCTAGAAATGTGGGCACTTTCAAACCCTCATCGTCTGATTCTTCTTCTCCCTCCAATTCCTGAGCACTTCCCTTTTGGCCTGCATAAACAGGAGCCTAGTGTCTAGATCCATAGTGTGTAGATCCAAACATCAGTATCAGGGTCGTTGTTACCAGCGAAAGCTGACTGCTCCTGCTTCTGATTTATAGCCCTGAATTCCCCACGCAGGAGGTGCTAGGGTGTCTCCCAATTAGCTCAGCGTTTCTAGCAGCTATTCTAGCTGAATGCCGTCTGTGCCGGCCTTAAATAGAAGGCTATGAAAGGAATTTAAAAAATACACAAGGCTATATTTCCCCTACTTAAAAAAGTAAACATTGCTTCTCATTAGTTCTGAGATGGAGAAGGATACAGCTGCTTAAGCAAGAGCGGCAAAACAATAGGAAACCAATTGAGCAAATTTCTAGCTCGTGGCAAGATACGTCTGCACCAAGTCGGCCTCCCTGTACGTAATTTTTCCCCAAAATAAAAAAAAATGAACACGCTTCACAAAATGGCATCACAGTATTTGTGCAAAAATATATACCCGTGCCTACTTTGTAAAGGGAGGATCCGAAGGTCATGTACTTGAGCATCATTCAATTGCATATTATTTAGAAAACAGTTATTGAATTGTAGTCATCGAACAGCAAAAATATATTTGCAGTACTGTAATTGGAAAGGAAAATGGCAACAGAAGGACAGACGAACGACGATAGTTTTTTCTCTCTCTCGGCAATAAGCTTGCATTTTAAAACAGTTCATATCCAGTGGGGGGAAAAATATCAAAATATGTTTCACTCGGAGGTGATTTACCAGTTGAATAGTATGTTCTGGCCCAGTGTCATAAAGTAAATTTGGCTGCTGCCTCCAGACTGAACAGATGCAAAAAATACCTGGGGAAAAGAGAGCGAATGTGAAATTGTAGCCAATCCTCACACACACACACACACACACACACACACACACACACCTATCTCTATATCTATATCTATATCTATATCTATATCTATATCTATATCTATATCTACATCTATATCTATATCTATATCTATATAAATAAACATGTAATGTTTGTTTGTGGTATTAACAGAACTCAGAAACCACTGGTCGAATTGACACCAAATTTGGACACAAGACACATAACAGTCCAACGAGTGTCCATCGCCCATAAACACACGCACAAAACCCCAGCAGAACAGACTTAAAAATCCAAAACTACACCATATATACATACACACATACACTCATATACATATGCACATGCACACATTCATATACACATCCACACACATATGCATATACTCACAAATATGCATATAGACATGTAGACATATAAACACACAAATACACACATATATACACAAATATATACACACACATATACACCCCTATATATATATATAAGCAAATACACATTTATACACAAATATATACACAATATGCATATACACATATAAACACACAAATATATACACACACACATATATATATAAACACACATATACACAAATATATACACACATATACACAATATGCATATACACATATAAACACACAAATACACAAATATATACACACACATTTATACACAAATATATACACACACATATATACACCCCTATATATATATGTATATGTATATAAGCAAACACACATATATACACAAATATATACACACATATACACAATATGCATATAAACACACAAATATACACACACAAACATAAATATACACACATATACACAAATACACACACACATATATACACAAATATATACACAAATATATACACACATATACACAATATGCATATAAACACACAAATATACACACACAAACATAAATATACACACATATATACACAAATATATACACAAATATATACACACATATACACAATATGCATATACACATATAAATACACAAATATACACACACACATATATATACACACACACATATACACCTCTATATGCATATGTATATGTATATGTATATAAGCAAACACACATATATACACTAATATATACACACATATACACAATATGCATATACACATATAAACACACAAATACACAAATATACACACACATATATACACCCACACACACACATATATATAAGCAAACATACATATATGCACAAACATATATACACATATACACAAATATATATACATATATACACATATACACACACATATATACACATATACACAAATATACACACACAAAACACATATACACTGACTGGGCCACAGCAACGCATGGCAGGGGATGGCTAATATATATATATATAAATGCTCTGGTCATAATGAGTACCTTAAAAACAAAAGAACCAATGAACGAAATCACACCAAATTTGGCAACAAAACGTCCCACAACACAAGGAGTGACCATCACTCAAAAATTATGATTTTGTCATTTGGGAGTTGTAGTTGCTGGGATTTATAGTTCACCTACAATCAAAGAGCATTCTGAACTCCACCAACGATGGAATTGAACCAAATTTGGCACACAGAACTCCCATGACCAACAGAAAATACTGGAAGGGTTTGGTGGGCATTGACCTTGAGTTTTGGAGTTGTAGTTCACCTACATCCAGAGAGCACTGTGGACTCAAACAATGATGGATCTGGACCAAACTTGGCACGAATACTCAATATGCCCAAATATGAACACAGATGGAGTTTGGGGGAAATAGACCTTGACATTTGGGAGTTGTAGTTATTGGGATTCACCTACAATCAAGGAGCATTCTGAACTCCACCAATGACAGAATTGGGGCAAACTTTCCACACAGAACCCACATGACCAACAGAAAAAACTGTCAGTGTGTAATTCATGTATGATGTGTGTTTAAATGTAATTTTATGTGATAGGATTGTGATTGTAATAGAATTGTATTGCCAGGATGTAGTTTGACACAGAAGGGTTAAACAGCAAAGTAGCAAGTTGTGAGAATGTGACCCTGAGTTCTTGCTCTGTGCAAGATTAGGGAGTGCCAGAGATAAACTTCCTTCCAGCTGCAGTTTGTATTAGTTCCTATCTCTTTCGGTTTGTGTTCTTCACGTCTGTCCACTGATGGTGTATGTTGTCTATTTTGAGCTGCTTAAGTAAAGCTGAAAGCCTGCCAGGGGACTGCTAGTATGTGTATATGTATGTATATGTGTGTGTATGTATGTGTGCGTGTGTATATATTAGGGCTGGGCAACCTCGGAAAAATTTGTTTCTAAACTCGATTTGTTTTTTGGGGTTTTTTGCGTTTCGATATTTAAAAGAATTCCGAAATTTTTCTTTAAAAAAGTTCGATATTTACAAAATTCGATATCCATAAGCCAGGAGGCTTATGGATCCGAACGGATTCCTGACGGCTCTTGGGGATTTTCCCGCCTCCGCGGTAGGTGATCGTGTCGAGGCCTTGGTCGCTCTCTGGAATGGGGAGATGGCCAGGGCAATTGACACGATCGCTCCGGAACGTTTTAAGGGCATACGCCGCAGCAATAAAAGCCGCAAAGAAAACCTTCTTTGCACTATTGCGTCTGCAAGGAACCGTCCGGCGGAGTTGTTCTGGATTGTCAGAGGTCTTTTAACTCCCGCCACTCCTGGCGGGAGCCCTGACAATTCGGCCACGCGCTGCGAAGCATTTGCTCGGTTCTTTGCAGACAAAGTCGCTTTGATCCGTTCTGGGCTGGACACCACGTTAAATGCAGTCTCTGTGGATGTGACACAAGCACCTGCTTGTCCTATTTTGTTGGATTCTTTTCAGTTTGTGAAACCCGAGGATGTGGACAAGATACTTGGAGGAATGAGGCCTACCACGTCCATCCTAGACCCCTGCCCATCCTGGCTTCTGAAAGAGGCCAGAGGGGGATTGGCTGAGTGGGTAACGGTGGTGGTTAATGCCTCCCTTCGGGAAGGCAAGATTCCAGCGTGCTTAAAACAAGCAATTATAAAACCGCTGTTGAAGAAACCATCATTGGACCCCACTAAATTTGACAACTTTCGGCCTGTTTCCAATCTCCCCTTTTTGGGCAAAGTCATGGAAAGCGTGGTGGCCTCACAACTCCAGGTATTCTTGAGAGACACGGATATTCTGGATCCGGCACCGTCTGGCTTCAGACCGGGACATGGTACCGAGACGGTCTTGGTCGCCTTAGTGGATGATCTGCGCCGGGAGCTAGACAGGGGGAGTGTGTCCCTGTTGGTGCTCCTGGACCTCTCAGCGGCCTTCGATACCGTCGACCACGGTATCCTTCTGGGGCGCCTTGCGGAAATGGGTCTTGGGGGCACTGCTTTGCAGTGGCTCCAGTCATTTCTGGAGGGTCGTACCCAGAAGGTGTTATTGGGGGACTGCTGTTCAACACCACAGCCTTTGACCTGTGGGGTTCCACAGGGTTCTATATTGTCCCCCATGCTGTTTAATATCTACATGAAGCCGCTGGGTGAGATCATCCGGAGTTTCGGGGTGCGGTGTCATCTGTACGCAGATGATGTCCAACTCTGTCACTCCTTCCCACCTACTACTAAGGGGGCTGTCGAGGTCCTGAACCGGTGCCTGGCCGCTGTAATGGTCTGGATGAGGGCGAACAAACTGAAATTAAATCCAGACAAGACAGAGGTACTCCTGGTCAGTCGCAAGGCCGAACAGGGTATAGGGTTACAGCCTGTGCTGGACGGTGTCGCACTCCCCTTGAAGGCGCAGGTTCGCAGCTTGGGTGTGACCCTGGATTCATCTTTGAGCCTGGATCCCCAGGTTTCAGGGGTGACCAGGGGAGCATTTGCACAGCTTCGGCTCGTGCGCCAGCTGCGCCCGTATCTTGGGAAGTCTGACTTGGCCACGGTAGTCCACGCTCTGGTTACATCCCGTTTAGACTACTGCAACGCTCTCTACGTGGGGCTGCCCTTGAAGACGGCCCGGAAGCTTCAGCTAGTCCAGCGCGCGGCAGCCATGTTACTAACGGGAGCGGGACGCAGGGAGCACACAACGCCCTTGTTGTCCCAGCTCCACTGGCTGCCGATCTGCTACCGGGCCCAATTTAAGGTGCTGGTGTTATCCTACAAAGCCCTAAACGGTTCCGGCCCAAAATACCTTTCGGACCGCATCTCGGCCTATGAGCCCACGAGGGCCTTGAGATCATCTGGGGAGGCCCTTCTCTCGATCCCGCCCGCCTCACAGGCACGTCTGGCGGGGACGAGAGAGAGGGCCTTCTCAGTGGTGGCCCCCCGGCTGTGGAACGCCCTCCCTGTTAACATCAGACAGGCGCCCTCCCTGATGGCTTTTCGTAAGAGCCTAAAGACCTGGCTATTCGAGAAGGCATTTAATTGAGCCACACGAATCTGGTAATGACATTGGAACGGACTATGGATTATGAGATTGGCTATGATTCTATGTTGTGATGGCGCGGATTTAGTAGTGTGATTTAGATTAATGTGTAATTTGGTTGATATATTGTATGTTTTGTAGACTGTTTTTTACATGTTGTACACCGCCGCGAGTCGCCCCAGGGCTGAGAGCGGCGGTCAACAAATGAAGTAAATAAATAAATAATAAATAAATAAATAAATAAATTTCGTAAAATTACGAAACAATACGAAACGAATACGAAACGAATACGAATCGATTCGTTAATGGCGGACGCGACCGCGCAATACGCTAAAAAACCTCCATATGGGACAGGGGGAACTTTTGAAGCTTCCCTCTCCCTCTGTTGTTGACTGTTGGTGTGATATTTATAATTTTTTTTCACTGATTAAACAAACAACAGCTATAAAACTTGCCCCAGACATGCGGAAATAATAACGAAACGATTTCAAAACGATTACGAAACGAATACGAAGCAATTACGAAATGAATTGAAAAATTCGTTTCGTTTTTAAGATGCTCCTGAAT